GGGAGTGTAGTTGGCATTCTTCTTTAACATGACTTCTGGTTGACTCCAGATTTTTTATGGCTGTTAACTTCTGTCCTCCAATTGGCTTTCCTTTGTATTTAGAAATAAAACATGTGATCAAGATTTTATGGTGATGATAAAATAGCAAAATGTTATCAGACTTGGGATGCTGCCTGTTTTTACATCTTTCTCCATATCCAGCCAATATCCTTCCTTCATGGCTTCTTCTCCTCTATGTTAGAGGAAATCTTCTCAAAAGAAATAGAACTACTGAATAAATAGTAAACATTTAATAAGACACCCAAAAATCAGGTTTTATTTTATCAAATGATAAATGTTCTTTATATAATTAACACTGATCCACTGAAGATAATATAAGGATATCAACATTACATGATCTATGTCCTATCTCAAAAGCTGAAAAGGAATGATGGGTATAATCAAGCTACAAAGGGCTATCAGCATAAGAAAATTGGAGGTAGAAAAGCTTCCTGAGAAATATAACATCGTGCTTGTCCTTCTGCTTTCCTAATTCTCCATTTTAAGAATTCCTATAGTGGCTCATCTATGCCTAAATATCTCTCTGTGTGCCTTTGTCTATCTCTGTCTGTCTCTGTCATCTCTCTCTCTCTCTCTCTCTCTCTCTCTCTCACACACACACACACACACACACACCCCAACCCACAAAATCACCTGAAAGTCCTTCTTCACAAGTCATAGTTTGCTGATGTCTAGTGCAACACATTCACTCACTAACATAGAAAGTGCATTTTCATTTATCACAGTCTGAGCCATAAGAACAACTTAGCTCTCTTCATTTGAGTACTCTGCTTAATAAAGAACACAATTATATAATAGTATAAGGGGATGGATGAAACAGTGCTGGTAGGCTGTTATCTCAGATCAGTTAGCTTGTAGCTATAGTTTAGCTGAATGTTTTCCAGCCTTAGTTACATAATGTAGTCACCTGGGGAGTCTCACCACATGTGGTGCCTAAATACCACAGTCAGAGAATTCGGTGTGATTAATCTAGTGAATTTCCTGAATGGGAATTTTTAACAGCTCTCTAGGTGTTTCTAACATACAGCCAACAGTAAAGGTTACCCATCTCACATAAGATGATTCACAAAAACATAGTGTTTTTGGATCACCACAGACTAGAAGATAGAGATATATTCAACTTTTCCCCTTTTCTTTATCATTTTTCCTATTTATTTCCAATTTAGCAGACTCAGCTCACTTTACAGCTACAATCTCCCTTGTTCATCTATCTTCATACACATTTCATATGTGAATTAACTTTAGAAAGTTGGGAAAGCTCGTAAAACTGAAGAAGAATGTCATGCATTTTCTATGTGGTGTGCTAGGCACTATCTTCTTGTTCCCAGTTGGTACTGGTGTTTTTCAAATTAATGTTCCCTTGTGGGAGCACTCATTGAACCATGTGGGCACAGGCTCAACAATGCCAGGCACTTTGTTAAACATTGGATCTTGCAAAATATCTTTCCTAGCTGTGACTCCTGGGAGACTATTATGTAAACCAAAATAACAACTCAATAAATTATAGTTTCTTTCCCCTATTCCTAGTTCCTCTATTAAGAAAAAGATATATCTCAGAGTCATTATGAAGTCTTGGGAGCAGCATGGAATTAGAGATAACAAAATAAAAAGCTTAAAAAATATTTTTCATAAGACAAAGTAAATGAGATTCTTTAACCTAGAAAATGTGCCTTTTAGCAATCCATGATAACCTAGTTCCCAAGACAGTGTCATATCCCCACACTTGGGCCCTATTACAATGAGATAAACATCTCTTTCTTGCCAGTTTTCCCGTAACCACATTTTAGTTTGAAGTTTTGTTGGCACTAATTTCTAATAATTTTTCTTTGAGTCACATCAACATGATATCTTTTAAAATTGGCCTTTGGAGATTTTTTCCATTTATGTTGTGAGATAGATACAGAAGCACCAATTAAAACACCAAGTACTAAATAAAATAAATAAATAAAATTGGCCTTTAAACCTCTCTAATTTAGACTCAAGAAAGGTTTTAACCTTTTCCTATTTAAGAAGCAAAGGATCATGTATTTTATGTCATACTTTATATAACGTCTGAAAGTGTTGACACCCAAGTATTTGTGATGATCTGCCTTCTTATACTAACTTTTTATAGTCTTGTCAGCTGAAAGGAAAATATTTTTTGAGATGCTTACAGTAAATGTCAGGGAAAAATGAAAAGTATATGTCATTTTTGAGAAAACATTGCTGGTAATAGTAGTCTCCAGTAGCTGACTTATGAACTCAAGAATTTTTTCCTTATTATGCTGTAGCTTTCTCAGTATCATCACCTCAATTAATAAACTTCTGTGAGTGATTTTTCTTACTAGAGCTTTTTGGTTTCATCAAGGCTAACTCATGATGAAAACCTTGCCACAACCACCTGGGTCTGGGAGGACTTTCAATTAGACACAAGTAGAAATATCCACACAAATCTTTTTGGTTATAAATTATTGGCTCCTTTGTGCAAGATTCATCTCTAGCCTCTTGTTCTACTATCTGAAATGGTAGAAAAAGTGTGGTAATGAATGTCACAGAACAGATTCACTGTGTATGTCTCTAAGCCTTTCCTAATTGGTACCTATAATGTGAACAGAAACACTTGGGAAAGTATGAACACAGTTAACTGCTGTCAGATGTAGATCCTTAGGCAAAAGAGTTCATAAAATCACCCTGAACCTTAGCATTCCAAATTACATCAGTCTAGTCAGAAAATTATATTCTCTTGGAAGAATCAACAGACAAAGTTATAAACTTCCCTCCTGAACTAAATCGATAGCACTATAATTACAAGTATCATCTCTAGAAGTAGGAGGCCAGAGACTGCATAGTATCAAAGAGAAGAGATGCTGCCCAGAAATTTATAAAAATTTTCTTACCCAAATACCAAGGAACTGGGGGCCTGCCAGTTAGCTCAGTTGTTTAAGCGCCTGCTCATGCAAATACAATCAGGTGCAGGATACTGCAGTTCGATCCCCACCTCCACCTGCATTACCAGACCTGCTCTTAAGTCAGGCTGAGCCAGCCAAAAAAAAATCCTTTTCAATACCAAGAAACTAATTCCCAGATCTCTGTCCTTTGATTGTCTTCTTACTGATAGTTCATTCTATTACTGCACACCTATCTTGGTTGGAATGATTTTATTTTGGTGAAATGAATAAGCAATATGACAAACTAAAACAGGCACAGGCTTTGATAGATGGATGGATAATATGCACATGCATACATGAATGTAATAATTATTTAACCTCGTCAAGATTCAGTTCCTCATCAAAGTAGAAATGTTAATATCTTCTTTTTTGGGATGTTGTAGAGGATTGAAAGTGGCTAATACCATGGGTTCCATAGTGTAATAGTGAGCACTCTGGATTCTGAAAGTGGCTAATACCTAGAAGATACTCACTAAATACAGCTGCTATTTGCTTAATTACTGAAGGTCTTGGTGGTTGTAGTAACATTAATCAGAACACATCTGACTTTGGTGACCTTCTGGTATACCATATACCACCTTGAAAAACTTTATGAGTAGTGATTGACAACTCTGATGAACACTTCCTGTTTTATCATCTGACAGATTGATCTTCTAGTAGTAATATGAACAGGCTCAGACATTTCTAAAAATCCTTCTTTTATTCAAATTAGTCACATCTTTGATTGGCTTCACTGTAAGCCTTAAGCACTATTAACCAGTGATGGTGTGTATCACCATTAATATCTTTACTATTGTAACTTATTAAAGTAGTAATTGAGGATGTAAAACTAATTAGGGTTTATATTTTCCTATTTAGTATATTTTGTGCTTGCTGGAAGGTAAGGAATAAAATAACTGCAATTAAATTGTAATTTGTTACAATTTATGTTTATTTATGAAGTTACATTTATTAAGAAAATTGTTATCAACTTGAGAGCAGGAGTTGTCTTTTCTCATTATTGAATGTGACTGAATCATTTTAGCAAAAATAAAAATGATTCAGACCAGTTACCAAAGATTATTACTTTTTTACTACATTTATGAACCATGACCCTGACATTAAAACAACAGAAAAATTTAATATAATTTCCAGTCTTTGATTAAACATTTACTGAATGACTTCTCTGCCCCAAGCAACTGTGAAGATGCTAGAGATACCATGGTAAATAAAACATATTTCTATTCCCAAGGAGCTTACCATGGAAAGGAGAACTGATGCCTACACATGTGGATCAATTAAGGGACCTACAAAGACATTTTTGTTGTCAAGTACTAAACAATCTGACAAAGATTTAAATCATAGAATGTAAGTAGAAAAGGCATTGACAGTGCCTGTGCTTGACAGGAAAGGCCTGATGGGGGATGATTGATAATCATCTGGCCTTGAAGGGTAGGGAAGATTTATATAGACAGGATGGCAAAGAGAGCTTATCAAGTTAGGAGAAAGTGAGCAAAAGCCTTGCAGGTGAAAGTAAACTTGGCAAATTGAGAGAATGACCAGGAATGTAGGATGGTTGGGAGAATGGTAAGGAATGGAAAATAAAGTTGAAATACGGCATACTTACCTGGCAGGAGAAATACCATGATCACAGAGGTGGTTTTCCCAGGGCAAGGCTTATCCATTGCACTCCAGATGTGCTGATCCCTGCGATTTCCCCAAATGTGGGAAACTCGACTGCATAATTTGTGGTACTGCATTCGCGCTCTCCCCTGTTAGAAAAGAAAAAGAAAAAAGAAATATGGGTTGAAGCTCAACTCCAAAAACCCTGGAGTCAGACAAATGGGATCAAACCCAGTAAGCCCCTAAAGGTTTGGAAGAGGAGGGGGATATAACAGTTGCTGAGCAGTTCCAATATAGCTCTTGTGAACTTTATGGTTCATGCGTCCTCATTTTGCTTGTCAGCATTTCCCTGTTTGCATCTTTATTTTCTGCTGTTTCCATGTTAAATTCAGAATGTGCTTTATGTTTCAGGGGAAGCCCCTCATCAGATCTCATTGATCAGGAAACTGGATCTGGTACTCTGAAGAGCAGCTGGAGTAATGTTGTGGCCCCTGTCCCTCAGAGGTCACCAGCTCCAAGCACACGCAGCATGACCTCTGTCAGCAGTAAAGTAAGTGCACAGATATGAAGAGATACTCAGCCTCTGGGATTTTACTGCCCTATGAAGGCAGGACTGGGCTTGAGCTCTCTATACCTTGGAGCCTTTTCTTAATGTTCTTTAATGGTAGAAGCTTCTTTATCAAGACCAATCCTCCTGTACCCTTAGCTTTTGAGCAGAAGCCCAAACTGAAAAAGAAAAAGAAAGACACAGCTTAAAGGGGGCATTGTATGATGGGGATTTAAATAACTATATGATTTAAACAAATACAAAGAAGTTGTAGAAGGCTCTGATTTTGCACCTGAATATTACTTCCCAGGGAACATATTCATAAACAAACATCACTAAAACTTCACCAAGCTGATTGGCATCTGGAAAAGTAGAACCTTAAAATATTTCTGTAGTTTTCTTTCCAACATAGCTCTTAAATCAAGGGATCATAATTAAAGCTTAAATTACATATGATACATACGATGATTGTATTTTATAATGTTTTTATTTTAAGGGAGATAGTGTATAAAGTATTTGAGGGGAAATATTTTCTTTTATTAAATACTCTCTTAGAAGTTGTACTTGGAAGTAATTATCATCTACTAGGTTACTTCTTCAGTAGGAAACTCAACACATAATGTTGGTATCTGTACATAAAAATATTTATATATGACTCAAAATTCTTTGATTCAGCAATATTTAGGGGGCTGTGATCAAGCCAAACTTTGTAGGAAGTGAAGAATAAACCATGCAAATGTCAGGAGCAAGGCAGCCACAGCACTGGTATTTGGCAAATACAATTGGGGAAGAATGTTCTTCAGTTTAATACTGCTCTAAAAATTTCTTGAACATTTTAATTCCTCAAGAGGAACAGCCAGTGCAATGATCTCATCATGCCTGGTATGTTCAAGAGAGCAAAAAGCAAGGCCAGTACAGCTGTTGTGGGTAAACAAAGGCAGAAATACTAAGAAAAGAGTGCAAGGAGGTAATAGGCCAGAAAGGGCCTCAAAAACTATTGTATGTGCTTTGACATTTACTCTGGTTAAGAGAATTAAAGTTGCAGGGCTTGAGGCACAGAAATAATGTGACCAAGCTTCATTAAGATAGAATCCAGTGGCTATGCTGAGAATTAGCTACAGGAAAACAAGAATGGAAGCCAGAGAACAGATAGGGAGCAGTTGCCAGGCTGGGAGAGCTAAGACTTTGGTAGAAAAGGAACAGTGGAGATAGAGAACCGTCAGATTCTGTAAATATTTTTAATAAAGGGCCAAGACTCCAACAGATTAAAACAATAAGAGATTTCCTGAAATACTTATAGTATAGGTTGTACTTGCTAAAATGAAAGGCATATTTAAATTTTACAAATGTGCTAGCCTCAACCAGATTATGTTCAGTAGTCTGAAATGTACATTGGTAGTTGATGATTATTTTCACTTTTTTAGCAACCTAACAAGCAGTGATATTCAAAATATTTAGCAATAGTATGACAGGAGCACTAGCCAATCAGAATAGATGCTGATTCAAGGCTTGGACGATATCCTGTGGGTCCATCTCCTGCCACTCATCAATGGATTATGGAGAGATATGTGGGTGAGGAGAAGCATGCAGAGAGGGAAGTAGACTAGGAGTAGTACTGTTTCCCACCTGACATAAAAAATACTTTAAAATGTTATCAGCTGATGTGGCTGTGCCAGGGGGTAGCTGCCCATCAGTCTAACAAACAATAAGTTCCTCAAATTTATTTTTAAAATAAGGATTATCATCCCAAGTACCATCCCATTTGAGTTTGTTAAGCAAGAAATTTTACATTGTTGACAAAAATGCTCTGCAACTAAATTGAGTTTATTTAGATACAGTACACAGACAGTGCCTGTGCTGACATTATTCTTACAGTATAGATAGTCTAAATTGGTTCTATACTTTGAGGCAGAAATATACAAATAGGAGGACTAGCCAGATAACTCAGCAGACTAAAGCACCTGCTTAGGCAGAGCTCAGAGACAAGGGTTCAATCCCCGGCATGCCATGCCAGCTCTGCCCCTGGGTCGTGCTAAAACAGCAGTTGAGACAAGGCATGGTGGCATGCATCTGTAATCCCAGTGCTTGGTATGCTGAAAACCAGGAAGGATCACTGCAAGTCCAATCTGTGTAGTGAGACCCTGTCGACCCTGTACTAAATACATAAAAATGATATATGCAGATAGGATAATAGAATACAATAAAGGAAGATAAACTTGAGACATCCATAGACAAATGGATGCAACTTGAACATAACGTTAAGTGAAATAAGTTAGATACACAAGTTCAAATAATTTCCCAAATTACCTATTCTATCGCTTCAAAATTATTTTAATATATGTGTTTTTTTATTTATAGGAATTTCTTTTAGTTCATTGAAAAAACATTTTTCACTATTATGTTTGTTTTCTTCTTTGCAAGAGAAATTTTGGCTATATCTTGTACTCTAAGTAACTTCTTTTAAGATTTTGATGCACAGTATATACCTATGATTATTTTAAAGTTCATTTTTTCATAAGAATGCTTTTTTGTTTTCCTCATTAATAGCTATTTCTATTACATTAAAAATTTTAAATGACAAAGAGAGAATATAGCAATATTTTCTGTTGAATAAAAATAAACCAGTATCAGAAGAAGAAAGAAGGGCAGTGAAGGTAAGAGATGTAAAAATGGTGAAAACACAATGTGTACATATGACACACCCCACCACATGATGAATGTGAGCACTATATATTGTAAATACATACTAATGAAAAAGAATGAATGGTTAGAAAACAAAAGATTATCTAGCAGGTTATGAAGCACATTTGCTTTTTCATGATGAAGGAAAGAGGTATGTAGAATTAGATGCTGATCAAAACCACTGCCTCTCCTGTTTCTTTGTGTATATTTGTTTCAGTGTTCTTGCCTGTTTTAGCATGTAAGAAGTTTTTAAATGGAAAACTTTTAGAACATGTAAGTCTCTAATCTGTCCGCAGCTATGGTGTGATATGTTTACTTTACATTTAACATCCTGAAGCACTAAGGCATGTACTGTGCCTTAATGACTATTTGGTATCAATTGGCCTTTGACTATATAGTACTAATTGAGCTTTAATGCTTGATATTAATAGTATTACTAGCTCACCTGTGGAAAAATTTGCTGTCATAGTAACTGTGAAGAGATAACTTGATTTTGCTTCATTAGAGGATTCTGTGTGTAAATAACTTTTTGAAGAGATATTGGAAACTTACCTAACCATTTGACATCCGTTGCACTCTTGATTAACCTCTCTGGTCTATGGAAATTAGAGGACTTAGAAGCTCTATGACTTGTGATACAGCTTTTAGGTGTTAGAAAATAATGAAAGACATAAATACAGTCTACAATGAAGCGGAACCGATTAGCATGTTAAGCAAGTGAGAATCACATCTCCCTGGAGTAAGTTTATCATGGTATCCCCGGCTGTCTAAGATATGCAGAACAAGGAGAAAAATTACATTATGTAGGCCTTTGAACAGGGCATTTGGTTGTTTGTACAACGGAGAATTTTAATAGTCTCCTTCAGGTTTGATGATCGTATTATTGGGAGGAACATCTAAACTCACCTCTCTCAAAAGGTCCAATGGGAAGTACCTTTTTAAATAGTTTTAGTATCCAAACAGCTTGTATAAACAAGAGGACAGCTCCTATGTCACACTTAATAATGGGGCAATTTTTCTGTATCATATATTATAATGAAAGCCAGTCTCAGATTGAATTCTGCCTCATATACATGTGTTTATTAGTAAGAACCCCGCAAAATCACCAATTCTTTTTTTTTCTTTTTTTTCTTTTTTAGCAGAACCAGGGATTGAATTCAGGCCCTTGTGCTTGCCAGGGAAGTGCTTATTCCACTGAGCTATCTCCCCGGCCCTTATTTTTTTTATTTTTAGAGAATACAAAATAGTGATTAAAAAGCAGCAATACAAACAATTCAAGATTTCACTAGACAAAGTAATGGGAATTCAACAATTGTTGCTATATTATATGATGCTAACTTGAAATTAGTTGATTGGACTACCAGCTATAAGCATGCGAAATTTGTTTATAGAAAAAACAAAAGAATAACAAAGAAGTTATAATAAATTCAAAAGACAAAAACTCAGAGTAAAACTACAGAATTTAATCATTAATTGTTCCTTTCAAAAACATCAGCAGAAATCAACAATACAATTATACAACACTATTCTTCATATATACTTAAACATGTCTTTTTCCCTTCTTTCAGTTATCCTTTTCCTCATGCTAGTTTTTCCTCCCCAGTAAATGATTTCTTTCCCTTTCACAGTATCTGTTGTACTTTTTAGATTTTAATTACTCTTACAGGTTCTCACACTAGTGGGATATGATATTTGCACATGTGGATCTGATTTATTTCATTTACAATAATAGTCTCTAGGTGCATCCATTTTTCTATAAAAGCATGAAATTTACCTTTTTATAGCTGAATAATACTCCATTGTGTAAAAATACCACATCTTTTTTCATCCATTCCTCAGTTGATGAGCGTCAGGGTTGACTCCAACATTTAGTTTTGACTAATTGTACTGCTATAAACATGGATGCACATATACCACTTTGCGATGATGATTTCAGTTCTTTTGGAAAAATACCTAGGAGAGGAATATCTGGCTTGCATAGGACCTCCAAATGTAGCTTTTTAAGGAATCTCCACACTCATTTCCATAGCTGTTGTACCAGGCTGCTATGTCACCAACAGTGGAGAAGGGGTCCTTTTTCTCCTCAGCCCCTCCAGCATTTGTTACTGGTTGACTTCTTGATGATAGCCATTCTTTCTGGCATAAGACGGTATCTCAGCATTGTTTGATTTGTATCTCTTGAATGACCAATGACACTGAATATTTTTTCATATAGTTTTTTGCAATTTGTATCTCTTTTTCTGACAAGTGTATATTCATCTCCGGTTCCCATTTTAGGGGTTGTGTCTTTGAATTTTGGAGGCCTGATTTTTTTTTTATTTCTTTATATGTTCTGGATAGAAGTACTTTGTCTGACAGACAGTCTGCTATAATTGTTTTCCACTTCATGGATATTCTTTTACTCTGTTGATGAAAATCACCTATTGTAAGTTGAGGAATTTTTACTCTTCTGAGAATGCCAGTTGTGTCCCACCAGAGATATAATCAACCATATTTTGATGACCCAGTCTTCTAGATTGAAAAGGTGCATCATCTTCAAATAAGTACAGATAGAGATGCATATATGTGTTAGCCACTTTCCCAGCACTGAGGCCAATACTTGCGATAGGTCAACTTTAAAAGAGGAATGGTTAATTTTGACTCACAGTTTTAGAAGTTTTACTCTATGATCAGGAAGATGTGTTCCTTCTGGGTCTGTTGTAAGGCAGAATATCTTAATGGACAGTGTATGATAGAGTAATCCGCTCACCTCAGGGTGGCCAGGAAGCAAAAGAATGAAAGAGACCCATATCTTCCTGTCCCCACTGAGGGCATACTCTCAGTAACCTAACATCTCTCATTAGGCCCCATCTCCAAAGACTTCACCACCTTTTAGTCACCAAAATGAGGACCAAACCTGCAATACATGAGCACTTCAGGGACATTCCTCTTTCGGAGTGGATATATTGGGGGAAGGGGTAAACATAGGACCAAACAGAGTTCTAAGAAACCCTAAGTACTACTATGACAGTACGAGGCTTGGCAAACAGTTAAATATGGTTCAAATAAAATTGAGGGTAATTGTACCATTTTTCTACTAAGCATATATTAAAACACTTAGTAATTTTGTGAGTAATAAAATTTTCAAGCACCATTTATGCTGGCTGAATAGCAAAAGTTTGGGAATAGATTTTACAATTATTGATAGTTTTGCAGTTATATGGCCTGCTGGTGAGGGTCTTATCAATGTCAGTTCACTCCTAAAACATAACATACATAGATGTGTGTAAACTAAAATATATTTATACAGAAGGATTTTAAAGTAAATTACAATCAGTACAATGTTCTTTTCTTAATTTTTACTTGTGGGAAGGAGCATGGTTTTGAAAATTCCATGGGTTTGTCTGCCACTGAACACACCTCTGAGGAGTTGACAAAGAGTCATCGCAGAAACATGTCCAGCACACCTTCTATAGCAGTGTCTGGGACCTCCCTCTCCTCAGGTGGGCAATTATGACACAGCTACTCAGCTGACAAAAGTGACTAAGTGCAATGTAATTGAGCACTCTATGTGGTATTAATGGATGTTTCATGCCTTAGGAGGTAACCATCTGTTCTTTGACCCACAGTAGGTTTATTGAATGATAACTGCTCCCAGTACTTGGCCTCTTGCTTTCGCAAAAAATCCATTTACTGAGTATATATCTTGCCAGGAAATATTATCAAGTTTTAGAGCTATATCAGAATATACATATAGAAATAAAATGGCTCCAGGATATGTTTGATATGGCAGATAGTACTTGCATAGGCAATGACAGTGTTAGCTTATTTGACATAGTGGCCTGAAGGCCCCACTATCTAGACAAATATATAATTCTAAAGTTTAAATAGTTATTTGCAAACATTAAAATATTAATAAAAACTTTTTCCATTTGTACAGAATATTCATGTATAACATTTTATTTTATTATCATAACAATCCTGCAAAACATATTATTCATACTTCAATTTTATGATCTATGAATAATAATAAATAATTTAGAGAAACTTATAATGCTGAAGTTTATGTCTTATATATAGCACTAACTTCACAATGTAATACTCAACATTAAAACATTACCTATTACCTAATGAGAAAATCTGCATAAAGCCAAAGGCTGGTTTCTAGATTCTAACTCAAAT